ACATCGAAGTGCTCTCAGAAGCAATCTCACCGTCGCCAGTGATCAAGCCTTTTTTTGCGGACTTTGGATGAGCAAATCGCGGAAAATGCTCTCGAAGGGCCTTCCTGTGGTTGCAGCTGGCCTGTTTGTCTTCCTTCTCTTCACAGTTTTTTGTGACTTACCGTATGGAGGAGAGAGCGCCATATTGTTACTTCAAAGAAAAAGAAGCAACTGAAGCTCTAACGGACCTCCTGACGTCGCAATCCACGATGCGAGATGTGAAGCTCCTCGTGAGAGACTTGAGGAATCGACATCGTGAGATAAGTCTCGTGCTACGACCGTGGACCAGCCGGAGAGACCATCAAGAATGCTTGGGATCGCTATTGAGAGTGACGGACCTAATCTACAGAGTCGCGACGAACATGACCGATCGTTTCCAGAAATACGACCGGGAATAGACTTTGGATGAACTTTAGACCTTAACAATAAACGCGAGGCGCGCTGCCCTCGACGCACCCGACTCCACAAGCCTCTGAGAAATCCAAGGTTCTCCGACGCGGGTTTTGGGTGGTGGACGAGAGAGCGCGTCCTGCTGAACAAGCTCAGCTATCCTTCTTTATTCTTGAATCTTCCGGGAGCGGGACGCAAATCTGATAAGCGCATCGCTGGATGCGTATGCACGAGACGCCTTCCTGACTTCCAGAGCTTTGAAAGCAATGAAAAAGGAGGGCGACAGGGTCTCGTATTTCAGGGGCGATTTCTCAGCAGATCCTTCGGGTTTCTCTCTCCCATTCTTCCAGCAGTCTTCCTGTTTTCCTCATGAGATTTTCGTCACTTTGTTCAGTGAAGCCCAATCTTCTAGCCACTTCGTCAATATCGAAGTGGTGAGGAGTGCATCCCGTCATAATGTGAGGGATGGTTTCTTCGTCTAAGCCACATTTTATACAGTGCGGCTCGATCTTTAGATATTTCGCTCTGGGCGACCTCGTCGGTAGCATCCCCGCTCTTGCTAGGGCTAACAGAGCGCTTCCTCGACTATTTCTATATAATACGTATGTTGGGGTGGGTGCATTCCACCACTTGCTGTATAGCTCAAGGCTGGGTTTAGAGTCTATTCCCTCTCTCCACAGCTCTTCCATCTTTTCTCTGATGTGTTTCTTTACCACATTATTGAAGAGAGTCATTCTTGGTTTGAGGTCCTCCGTGTATACCAGCGGTATATTTCCGCATGACTATTTGTCGCTGAGGTGGCGCATTCTTCTGAGCGCTGCTGTTGTCATCCTCGTTGTGGCCATCATGGACAGTATCATGCGTGGCCATCGTTCGGGCTTCATCGCGCTTATTCTCGCGAAATATCGGATTTTGCTCTGCGCTTCCCTCGACCCGAAGGTTGACCATCCGAGTTGGCCTTGTACGAACTCGTTTGCGACCTTATACTCGTTTATTCCCATTGCCCATTTCCCAGCTGCGGTCTGAGTTTTTTCGAATTCAGCCGTCATTTGGTTCGAAGCCCGAGACGCTAGTACCGCATTCGCGTATGTGAGTCTCGGTACTCCCGTTTCTTTCCATTGTATTCGTGTGATCTCGAGTCTGTTGGAGGTCCATAGGCATTGAGCGTGCGATTGTTCCCTCTCTCTGAGAACGCTCATCGTCACTCTTCCATCGTCGCCCATGCTGTAGAAATTCTGTCGCAGCTCACCACCGGAGAGGATGGAGTTCCGTAGCCAAGCTGTCCTCGATGTCGCCCTCCTTCTTCATTGCTTTCAAAGCTCTGGAAGTCAGGAAGGCGTCTCGTGCATAAGCATCTAGCGATGCGCTTATCAGATTTGCGTCCCGCTCCCGGAAGATTCAAGAATAAAGAAGGATAGCTGAGCTTGTTCAGCAGGACGCGCTCTCTCGTCCACCACCCAAAACCCGCGTCGGAGAACCTTGGATTTCTCAGAGGCTTGTGGAGTCGGGTGCGTCGAGGGCAGCGCGCCTCGCGTTTATGTTAAGGTCTAAAGTTCATCCAAAGTCTATTCCCGGTCGTATTTCTGGAAACGATCGGTCATGTTCGTCGCGACTCTGTAGATTAGGTCCGTCACTCTCAATAGCGATCCCAAGCATTCTTGATGGTCTCTCCGGCTGGTCCACGGTCGTAGCACGAGACTGATCTCACGATGTCGATTCCTCAAGTCTCTCACGAGGAGCTTCACATCTCGCATCGTGGATTGCGACGTCAGGAGGTCCGTTAGAGCTTCAGTTGCTTCTTTTTCTTTGAGGTAACAATATGGCGCTCTCTCCTCCATACGGTAAGTCACAAAAACTGTGAAGAGAAGGAACACAAACAGGCAAGCTGCAACCACAGGAAGGCCCTTCGAGAGCATTTTCCGCGATTTGCTTATCCAAAGTCCGCAAAAAAGGCTTGATCACTGGCGACGGTGAGATTGCTTCTGAGAGGACTTCGATGTCGATGGGAGGACCGTGATGCTGGTGGAAGGTCACAGGTGAGCGCGGGAGTCAACGTCTCGAGCAGAACTCCTGCATGGAATGTCGGGAACCGATATGCAAGCAGCTGCGCCGACTTCAGGCACGACAGTACTTCCACTTCGAAGAGCACGCTGCTTAAGTACCTCTCTAGAGTAGAGTAGAGGATGAGACCCTCTCGTAGGATCGCTTCATGATCCGGGTGGGGCGCTCCCGGAGTGTCCTACGGGCTCTCGACCGTCTCGGAACGCCCCCAGACCAGAGTTTTCGAGCCATTCGCACTTCTTCTCGGAAGTCGCTCCTACCGCTGCCCACCGGGGTCTGTAGCTGTTCCCTTCTTCTCACCGGAGAGTTGGTGCCAGCGAAGAGTTCCGGCTCAGACATGGTGCTCTGCGGCGAAAACATCCGGACGTGACGCTACCATATTTCCGCCATATCATTCGATTCGGATGCTCAGGGTCCCGTAAGGTAGCTATCCTAGTGCGAGACTCCGACAATGATCTTTCGAACCCAGCTCCGTCCCTTCAACAAGGAGCCCACGTCTGATACTCAGGTCAATATCTACACTAGGTCTGAGGGAAAATGAAAATCCACGAAAATAATGTCGGATCGGCCCACGGGGGGAGGTCTCGATTTATTCATGAGAAGCGCAATGGCGCGATGACATCCCGATTCAGATCTTACTCTCCTCGAAGAAATTGCCACGAGCCTCGATGACGACCGCACGTACGCATGGCATTCTTCGTACGAGTTTCTCTAAAGTCTCCTCCTCGACGCTCGCCCACTCTTCCCGGAGGACGTCCCAGAGCGTCGTTGTATTTGTGATTCGGTGATTCGTCTTGTGCGGAGTTTTCTGTCTAAATGGTCCCACGGTAACTCGACGGGGTCGCAGTCGGGACCCTGAGGAGGCCATACCATCAATTTCAGTTGCCCCTGCGACTTTCCAGAACGGAGATAATTGTGGCAGATGTGGGAAGAGTGCTTCGGATCATTGTCTTGCTGAAACATGAGACCGCGACCAATCAAACGTTTTGCGGACGGCACGGCGTGCCTCACTAAGATTCGATGGTAGTAAGAAGCGTCCATGCGTCCTTCAACTTTCACGATATCACCGACTTTACCTCCACCGAAACCTCCCCAAGCAATCACCGACCCCCCTCCGTGCTTGACAGTGGGCTGCAGACAAGGGAGTTCCCTACTAAAATCCAGTTTACCTGTTTTGGGCTCAGTTTTGGACCGGGGAGGCTGGTTGTTCGATGGCACATTTCTTGGTCCCCCCGACAAGCAGGGAGCTACATAAGATAGGTTCCCTGGGGGTGAAGAGGAAGAAAAGGAGGTCGGGGGAGGGGGTTGTTGGATCAAAATGCTCCAAGAGAGGATTTTACAATTATTTTCCGTGGCTCACACAATTCTGCGATGCTCTTAGGTCCCGACCTGCAGGCTCAGCGTCGCTTTCCGCGGAAGACGAAAATTGGGGATCGCAGGTTCGAACGCGAACCGGATCATTATCAAGAATAATGCCCACAAGGTGTCGTCGCGTTGTTGGTTGGAAGCTGACGCCGAAACGCCCATGGATTTCTGGGACTTGGGTTCAGCTGAGAGCACGAAGCCCGTAGACGAAAACTCGCAAGACGCCACAGGGAAACATGTCTCGGACCAAGTTCGACCAGCGTGCCACGGCCCAGGCACTTCCGGATGCTCTTATTTTTCTTCACGCTCATATTCTGCGCCGCGTTCAAATACTTGCCCCGCTCGGATTCACAACGCGCGCGAGTCCGATTGCGACGTTGCGAACTCGTCGGAGAGAAGAAAGTTCAGATGATTCAGGATCTGCGCGCTGCTGTAACGGTTACTGACTAAGCTGTGTCGACACCGGACTGGCGACGAGATGTGAACGCAGCATGGAATAAAGACGCAGAGAACAGAGACCGCACGCGAAACAAAAAGATACAGCGACTCGGTTGGTGGGAGAGCTCCTCCTATGGCCTCAGCGGTACACCCTCTCGGACGTCGAAACGTAGGGAATCGGGAAGCGGACGCTGAGAGGTGCTCGCCCCTGAGGGTTCGGCAACCTTCCGGCCGGAGCCTTGGGGTCTATCGCGGGGGCCGGGAGAAGGGATCATGAAGGAGGGTCTCAACGAAAGAGTAGGAGCGAAGTTCGGCACGTTCTGAATTCTGAACTACCAGGACTCGCCCAGTCACCCGATGAGATGAAGGAGGAAAGATCGGAGCGAATGAACCAGGAACGTAGGAATCGGCATTCTTCTGGACTGTAATTATACGACTCCATGATATGGTTCTGTGGTCAGTGACCGCTCATGGTGTTTATTTCATCATTATCGTTATCATGTTCACATGGGATACGGCTCAATCGGATTCATCCTGTTCACGGGCTGGAAACTGAGTTTGAGTGCGCTCCCGCAGCGTATGCAGGATTATCGCGATCCACTTTCGCAAGCGATCTAGAGCTTTCACAGTTTCGACGCAAAAACGCCCTGGGGTTATGTTATGTTAATCTCCAAGATTCGGCACAGAGACACGTGGCCATCTTTGAACTACGAAACCGCGATGTGAACGCCCGTCCTGAGCTCCGGGAGCGATACGAAAACTGTCTTGGGCAGTTTCGTCCATATGAGGTGATTGGCGCACTTATTCGGATTTTGAGTTTCGCCGTGGAGGCACTCTCGAAGTAGGCCTGTATCGGTGAGATCCTCGAAGATTGCCCGAAGCTCTTTCATGAGGCATCGTGGTGAGTGCGAATGTTGATTGTGGTCATATGCTTCCGGGTCCTGCGAATACTTACACCAGGAGATGTCGCAAAAGCTGTGATCGGGACATTCATTGGATGACTCTAGGTGCTTGAAGATCGCCCAGACGGCTCTCCCCATCTTTTCGACATCGTCTGTGTTTTTCCTTATCGCGTTCCCGTAATAGCTCTGGATCCTGTCTATTACTTCATCTATAAGGCGATTCTTCCCCCCATCGCCTTCCCGTCTTCAAGTTTCTTACCTCGGAAAGTTGCATTCAGTTTTCTGAGTTGTGTCCCCATCCGCTTCTGGATGTGACCGACGCATTCCAATTTCTCGATATCTACACCGTTTCCGTATGGTTCATCGGATACAACGGCATTGTAAGCCTTGGAATCGCCGTCTCCAAGGTACTTGACATAGCGTATTCCGTGGAGTTGCACCGATCGACGGTAGATTTCCTTGGCACCATCGAGTTCCATCGCCCCACTAACACCTTGGAAGTTCGCATAGCATTTCTCGTCATGAATATTGGATGTCTTGCCAGGACACCGACAATATTCAGAAAGAACGCTTACGTCGAGAACTTTGCCGGTGTAGAAACTAGTCGCTGTAAGTAGCCCGTTGAGGGACGTGAATCCTCGTTTCTGCCAGGAGCCATCGAGAGCAACCGCGATGTCGGTTGATCCATCATTCAGGACCACACTTTCCGCCGCCGCCCGTTTCATCGACTCTTTACATACTTTCTCAGCCATTGTACCCAATATCTTCGCGAATTTTTCGTATCGGCAGCAGGCATTCGGCAGGTCCATGAGGCCGCAAAACATTTTCATGGCCGACGCGCCTTTCCCAATGCGTTGAGTTGACGTCCCCGTCTCGGTCTCGAATGATTTCACTGAGTGAGTTGGCGAGGATCACAGAAGCTCCAACCAGGATTCCGCCGCCCCCCCGAGAACTGCCGGTCCACTCTATAGCCTACTTGAGCCTGCTGGGTGAATCCGCCACTGCTTGCAAGCAAGAGGAGTATCCCCGTCCGCTCAAATTCCCCTGGGCTCTCGGCACATGTTCGAAACACTCGTCTGATGTCCGAATGAATATCAAGGATGTCATAAGGATACGACGATGACAAGGAAATCCCAACGAAGCATAAACGGAAGTTATTAAGAAACAAAAGCATGGGCTATCATCCAATGTCAACATTGGCGCCGCGATGACTCCGCATCCCGTCTCGGATCGTGCGTCAGACCGCAGGAAATGTGCATGCCGGGTGACTTCTGAACTTGCACGACCAAGGAGAAATCAGCCCGATTATGGCTCTGAATCGAACAATGTCTGCTCATAGATGGTTGCTGCCACCACTGAATCATCTGATATCTGATATCTAATCTGAGGCTATGAATATGTTGTCCCCAAAATGTCCCGTGTTTCGATCGTGAGCTTGTCCTCAGGGGGTATAGGGTTCGAATTATTCTCCGAGCATGGGACACCAGGACGATGAACCCCCAAACTTTCCCGCGCCTAAATAGACAATCAGAGATCGACAAGACTCAATTCCGGCGGTACTGTCTTTTCTACTTCTCCTTCTCCCGACGGCCACAGACGAGGCTCACGCAAAGGAGGTCCGCGCTGCCGACGTACGCAAAGACGCGAAGGAGGCTTGCATGGGTGGGCGGGGAATGCATGAAATTCGTTGAACGATTTAATGAGATGATCGGGCACCGGTCACGCCGCGTCACCCGGGAATCC